GTCACCAAGTATGGTCGTGTTGTGCTTCCAACTCATCAAGACAACCTTGAAGATCATCCAAACATAAGAAGCGGAAAGAGAGGGTCGTCCTAAAATTATGTTCCTACACACCCTCGATCACGGTAACTAAATATCAGCAGCCCCTCGCAAAGTATTCTACTGAACACAAATCTGTTCAAATACTTGCTGAAATGCCACTCTCCATAACTTTAGCTGTGCAGCCTTTGTAAAGAAATCTGGCATTGAGAACAAAGATGTACATTCTAGCAGCAGTGCGTCTCATTCTAACATGCAGACAAATTTCCAAGCGGCCAACGGGGTGGATCCTCATCACGGCTAAACCGAGTGAAGGTGGCAGACATCGCAAAGATGACAAACTTTCGTCTTCCTTTTAGCTATTCAACAACTAAACATAATGAACGAAGGTCTTCCATTAAATAAATTTACAACCTTTTCGAGAAGATTTAATTTACAAACATTTTAAACCCTTCCGGGCGGACATTTTCGCCCTCTGCCGCCTATGCATTCCACCTTCCCCTCATAGATGTTCTGACAGCGTTTGATAAAAATTAAATCGTTCCTTCTCAACTCGTCAACGGATTCCGCCAGCTGACCAGAAGCAATTTCCAAAAAATTCTGCTGGAGATGCAACAGCACGATTGAAACAGACGACAAACCTTTCGCTTCCGTTTTGTCACACAAAGATTCCAAAGATTCAATATAACGAAATCCGCGAAATTTAGAGCCTCTGTTGCTAATATCTGCTGTGCAAGCATTCGAACGGCTCTCACTGGAACATTTTCACGATTTATTGTTAGAACATTTGACATTGCCTATACAGGCAATCTAAACTTCACTAAAAATAAAAGAAATTGTACCTTTTCCAACACAATGGATTCAAGCAGCTGATCAGCTGAAGCAAATTCCAACTGATTTTGTTCGGAATCGAACAGCATCGATGGATCAAGACTAAGGATAGTCTAAAAATTGAACTGACCGACGCAAAGCAAGTCGTTTGCACTTAAATCTTATGCGATCAAAGAATTCGCTACAGCAACACGTGCCTTCGTCATAGAAGACTTTGAAGGCAACCCATGGCAAATAACTCAAGTTCTAACACTTAATGAAAGCCTTAGTGGTTTCGGTCAGGTGGCCATAACCTAAAGATCAAAAATATTAGTTCAAAACAAAACTTCAAAACTAAATAAAGCAGGAACCGCCGTACATACCTCAACATCACCAGCCGTCCAAGTAGTCAGTACAGTATATAGACAAATGTTCACAGCTTTTAGTGAAACAACATAACGTCGGAGAACCAACGACATGAAGTTCCAGAATGGCTGGCTAACACAAAAACGAAAACCAAAATATTTTTGTTTATAGCATATAAATTTCATATATCAATTGCACCCTTTACCGTAGCTGCACATTACTCAACCGGAAGACTAATGAATAACGAGATATTTCGTTTCAAAAATCGAACAGGCAATAAAATCGATGGGTGATCAAGGGAACAACACAGAAATTGTCGAATGTTCTGAAGAACCAAGAGGTAATTGAGACAATCAACGTCATCCCCCGTTCAGAGAACTGATGACGTCAATTTAAAGACGATGATGCGGCTAAAATTTAGGGTAGCACTTTTGAAATGAAAATCGGCTTTCCACCGAACGACAAGAAACATCTTTGACGTATCATATGGTCCCTTTTCGGCAGGTTATCGTTATCAGTGTATGTTTTAAAGTACGAAATAGTTTACATCTATTGCTTCATGGAAATGAAATACGGATCGTATGGAAAGAGTGCATTAGAATACTAGGGTGCTTGACGAAAATACTACCATTGCATTACTTCATTCAAGCCGTTACCTTCAGTATTTTATGTAGTGGGTTTAAGATCCAGCGGTAAATGAATCAAAAATAACAGGAAAAATAAATTATTTTTTGAACTTCTACCGATATCACGCTGCAAGCAATATTTTCAGATTTAACATACAACACAACATACAAGCAGCAGATTTCAGCAGGTCCGTCAGTTGTGAGCTGGAGAACTAGCAACCCAGATGAAACTTGATTCCCGTGTACTGTGTGAAAAAACATGCAGTAAATAATTTAATGCTAACAAAATCCTCGATCTTCCGAGTAAATATTCTATAATGCACTAATCTTCGATTATTTCACTGGCTAGCAAATCATGAGTCATTTGGACCGTAATCAGTTCAGAGTGAAGAGTACCTTCCAGAAGATTCAACAGGAACAAAACACTAGTTAAAAATAGCCACTGACCGATCCATCCACAATCTTGCAAAATCTACACCATGAAACAGATACTAAAAGACTACCATCTGAACTAGGGATAACTACATTAAGTCTGATATAACTACATAAAATCTGACCTATTTTACTCATGGCTAATGAAAAACATTTTCTGTGTACTCTAAACTTGAGGATGACGCTAAAGGACGGCATCTAAGCGCGTCGATCATTCTACAGCGACGACGCTTAAACAACTTTTAATAGTCAAGCAGCCAGTTTCGATGACCGCATATCATTTGGATACAAGGGAGACGTGTCAGACAGTGTCTCAAACGTTCCCGTGCCAGCGTATGTGCTTTGGCAGATAAGTGGAGCACGAAACACAATTATCTGCGGTATCTGCGTCAGGTCATTCCTGCCCGTCGCCAAAATCTCCCGCCGGTCAGTTGAGCAAGCAACAGCTGCTTCGCCATTTCTGAAAGCATATCTTTTTATATAAATTGATTATCTATAAATATAACCTTAAACTATTCACTCGTTCCGTTTGAAACTTCTTCCGGAAGTCACATAATTTATGTTATAAAAAGTACAATGTATACTTTCAGAACGTAGTCAGTTGCCAAATGTTAATAGTTACATCTACCGTTTGCTGACCTGGCAGAAAAATAGAAACAAATTTTTTTTACACTAAACGGTATCAGCGGCTAACATGCATTGATTGAATAGTTGGCTAAGTCAAGAGATTCATGCAGATAAATTTTTAAAAAGATTTCGATAGGTTTAAAAACATAAAGAGCTCAAAAAACGAATGGAATAGTCAATATTTTGTAATCCTTAGTGCTTGCGCGTATTGAAACAACACCAAATTAATTTATTCTACTGAATATTTTCGGCATCAAGGGCTCATTTAAATAACTCCAAATAACTCTCGTCGTCTTCATCGAAAAGTCCTGTAGAGATCTTCGAAACCAGTGTATTCTGGAGAGTGGAACCAATCGAAGGCTTGCCGGTAATCGTTTCGATTCGTTTCGGGGTAGAGGGCGGTTTTCCTTGGCTACTGGAATGACTGACTTTAATTTCTGATGGCTTCAGTTGGTCGGAAGTCTTCTTTGTTACGAAGAGTTCTAAATCAACAGCTAAGAACAAAACTAATGACCGATATAAATGGTTAAATGAATAGAAAAAAAAGTGATCCCATTAAAAGATTAGAGCACATAATTTAAAGCTATACTCCTTCATGAGAGGATTCACCACTTAATTTAAGAATTACATGAAACACGTAAAAAAAGGCACAAAGTAATCGGTTGAACCAAATTTTTCACGTACATCTTACGGACGTTTGTTTCGTTTACCTTCTTGTACACTACAATGGTCATAATCAGAAAAAAATCTATAAAAACTTATCGAAATTTTGACCCAGTCTTTGTCCGGGTAAATCTCAGATACAGCATGACAACTTGATCGTATTTCAGATCTTAATTTAACTTTTTATTTGATATCAAACCATACCTTCTTCGTCGCTTTCGGCAAACACTGGCTCAATGCTCCGTTCATTGCCCTGACTTTTATCTGACCTTAACGAGGGCTCACTGACCTTCGAGACCACCGCCTTCTGCAAACCGAATGCCAAATTTAAAAGATCTAATTAAACATATAGGCAGCTTACCTCAACGACAAAATCTTGAGCGTCATTTTTCGAAGGGGTACTCGGCTGAGGTAAAATTCCGATGTCTTCTGAGAAAAATTTATGAGCAGAACTTCCGCCGCTGTCCAAAACTGGACTGTTCGAACTAATACTCAGAGGAAGTTTGCGACTTGGCAGCTTTCTAGTTGCTGACGGAATTTTGGCCCTGCTCTAAAGGTAAAAGCATGGAAAATACATTAAATGAAGGTAACACCGCACGGAAAAATATCTTCAATTCAATGGTAACAGGCACTAAGAAAACTCAAAGTCGAACGAATTATTTAACGTTCAAAAGATGAAATTTTGCAAGACTATCTCGTTCATCATAAGTGTACAAAAAATATGATGTAAGCGTTTATGCCTTGATATAATAATAATCCCATATATAATAATCCTATATAATTAGGTCGCTGTACATTGAAGGGCTAATGAGCAAAGTCATTCCAAGAGTCTCGAATGCACGATGAAAGATCAATATCCGTAGTGAGGAAACAACTTCTGACAAGAATTCGCCATTTCAATCCTTAATATGAGCAAATATCACCAATAAACAACTTGCAGTTTTGAAAAGCGACAAAATATGATAAAACAGCCATCGACTATGAGCTATCCTCATGCCCATAGCCCGTGGATTCAAAACAACTTGTTTCATGATGCAACTGATATTGAATCTATATAAAATTTCCAACGGATATTAAGATATTACAAACGTTATGCAAACTAACCATCTGCTTAATAAAGACACATAATACCACTGCATTTGATAAATAATATGAATCCGACCGCCAAGAGAAAATGAGATTCTTTAATTTTATGAAGGGGAAAGGGTGGATACAACGTTTGAAGCATAATACTTTCGTCACAGCCCCGCCTCATCAAACAGAATGTTGTCTCATAAGATTATAATGGTGATTCTCTGACAATCCCTTGTTATTACTATCTTGTTGGGCGATAGTTTAGAAATCGAAGATTTAACCCATGCCACGAATGATGAAGTAAATAGATTCTACTCATCTCCACCTTGGCACGTATTTGAACGATGGGGACGAGACGCAGGGTCCTGAGAAAGCATTATGAAGATCACTTGCTGTCATTTTATAAACTAGTAGAGTAAGCAGATAGCTTTCAGTCACGAGATTTAAAGATTTACCTTTTGCAAACTAGGAAGAATGAAATCCCTTTCATGTGATGTGAAGAGATTTTCGTGCAGCGTGGTGTCTTTCGTATGGTTCACAGAATCCATCTAAACTGACAAAAAATAACTTATCAAAAAACCAACAACAACATTATACGTTTTATAACAAACAGTTAGCTTTCTATACCGCGGATCAGAATAACATTCAATCCTCCGGATATGCAGGGCATAGCGTACCATCTCCTTGCTTCTAGTAGCCTAGCGAACCATTTAAACAGGCCACGGCTCCATGCTATTTGAGCACCTGCGGTGCATGGACGCAAAACAGAATCACTTTTTTGAGTCGAACAAAAACATATTCGAAACAAACGCATATAGCACATACAACAAAAATAAACCCTATTATTATGGGTTGGCTAGCAAACTGCTTGCTTTCAATACGCCGGTTTTTCTGCGACTCAACAAAGTGTTGCTTTGCGCCCATGTATTGCAAATCCAGGAATACCAAGGAGCCGTGGCCTGCTAAAACGGTCCGCTAGGCTACTAGAAGTAAGAGAGTGGTGCCTCACCATGTAAATCCAGAAGACTGACAGAAGACAATATTCTAATTAGCTCTGGCAAATTATACAAGATGCTCACATAGAACTTTCAAGGAGAACGTTTTCTAAGAAAAATGTGACATACATCCAGGATATAAAGAATTGCACGCCACTGTTATGGTCCGTCTTTCGCATCGTCTCTCAAAAAGTGCTGAACTGAATATGTTAAGGATACTGCAATGACAGCATCCTGCACTTGCAACATAGTTCTGTAAAAGCAGGAGAGTAGAACTGGTCTGGAAAGAGGACATCAGAACACATTTCTACCTATCTTCTCATAACGAGGAAGGTCTTAGATGTCAAAATATCGGAGGAAATAAACTTAACGTATGCACGTAGTGCATGTACAAATGTCCTCTATAAGAGTTAAGACAAAAACAGTATTAAACTTTAAAATGAAGTCATTATTTTTTGTCAGGCAAAATCGAATAAATATTTTTATTTTCGCATTTACTACCTTGTACTGACTTTTTTAAATCCCTCTCGGCAAGGCTATTTTTTGCAAGGGTGAATTCTTGCCCAGGCAAATTCGAATCAAACAAACAAACCTTTTATTTAGAGAACATCTACTGTGTGTGACCGAGACAGCTCAGTCGGTAGAGCGTCAGACTCAAAACTGGTTACAAACCCCGGTATGGATACTCTTCTTTCTTCTTTCCGGAGTTGATAAATGAGTACCACGGTGTGGAAAGAAAACAGCACATAGATTTGTCGAGGCCATTACAATAAAGCAGTCCTGGCTGAGGCAATGGAAATGGAGGTCAGTGTCTACCATTAAAGTCATGAACAGAAGGGCACTAGAAGTGGCCCCATCATGACAGCGAAAAGAAAACTGACATTCTAAGGGTTACAAACTTTCCGTGTTTTCAGACACATCCAAAAGATTTAGCTTTATCAGGGCTTATAACAGACAACCTTTCTCTCAAATAGGTCACCATATAAGAGAGAAAAAATACACCAATCCTCCCTAGCTGAGAGTCTATCTCATAGGTCTCATTAGATGACCGTTTCAGGGGTTCATGATCGATCGTCACGGCACCCGTAGAACACAAGAAGAAATATACTCATAAGACATCGCCGTGCAAGAAACGGTGCCATAGCATTTGCCCACTCTCAACTAGACATCATATTAGATTTATACAAAACTAGCAAAAAGCATTTGACTGACAGGCAATTATAACTATCTTTCAAATTCAATTAGCGATATGAGAAACGCATACAGCAAGATTTCGTTCACCTTTCTGTATACTAGAAACAACGTCAACCCGCTTACTAAAGGAGAACATTTCAACATTGCGCTTGTAGTTTTAAAATTTGACCTCAGGAACATTAATATGGAACATTTTAAAAAGTTGTCAGACTCAGTAATGGCAAGCGAGAGAAATGGATATTGATTATTATAATTTATGCGCATTTTAATTAATAAATATAGCCGATATGTTGTATTATTATCGTTGAAATCGCTAAAAGCAGAAACGACCATCAACGAACGCTTGAATGTGTCTATTAAAATTATTTGGCTAAAGATGGTGCTTCCATCAATGCACAGAAAGGCAACATGATTTCCTTCAACTAGGTACGAAGCACCAGCATTCGTTACATAATATAAAGATACATTAGGTTACTGACGTAAAGCAGAAATCCGCTATCAAACTCCACAATAAGTCTAATGTAGTGAACGATGCTGTCACCATTCCGGTCGAACTACCTACTTCTTCAATCTGTTCCAATTCATGGTAATTTTTCGGTCTAACCTCACCATCTTTGTCTTACCATGCATCACTGCAGTAATTAAAGTGAAAGATTACCTTTCTAATACATAAATTTACTTCATTCAAAATAAGAATGCTGACTGAAAAAGCTTTTACCTAATATAGAATAACAAAACTTAATCTTTTCCAAAACCGGATTTCACTACGTATTGCATCGCTCCCCTTCGTT